TAGGTAGATATATATATATCCACATTGCTCAATATTTACATTACCTAAACGATTACCCGTTATCTTCCCTGAAAACTGAAGATTACTAAAATGAATCGCAATATTGATCAAACCAAAACTAAGCATATGCCATGTACGAAATCCAAATATAATTATTACTTTTTAGAAATATTGGAAAGTGCTCGTAAACTGTTCGACTTCCAGCGCAGGTCGTCGGGCTACCAAAGCAGGAGAGCCATCCTCTTCAAAATTGCGATGGCATGTCTTCGGATCATCCTCAGGGATGTTTCCAAGACCGTCGCCAATAGCTCATTGAACAGCTCTAGTACGACGTAAATAAAGTACCTACCTACCCATAATTAAACTTGAACAACGTCAGAAAAAGATAGAGAAATCCTGGAAACTAAGAGAAAATTTTTAGGAAGTATTTTCGGAGGTGTTCAAGTAAATGGAATTTAGAAAAGAAGAACGGATATAGAATCAGATAAAATTTTCAAAATTATGTTTATTAACATCTATTAGTTAATTTTATTAACATATAAGTTTTAGGATTGGCTGGACATTAGATCTAAAATCACTAAGACTACCAAAATGTTTTCACAGCCAAACCAACCGCCTCGAAACAAAGGGTGGTGATATAAAAACCTGAAAATCAAACTCGAAGGTGATTGAAAAACATTGAAAATAAATAAACGAAAAGATAAAGACGAGCATAAGGTCAACTAGTGCTAAATTCTAAAAGAGGTTGTATTGGGCCCATCCCGGGCATTCCAATACCTCCTAAAAGAGAGAAGGCCTCCGCACGGGCTACCATAAACAAATAATTTGATCCTTTAGTAGTCCAAACGTAACGACATCTTTTGTCTACACAGCTTACTTGCCCAAACGTGGTGACATCTTTCTTATTTTTGCTCCACAGCTTAATTAATTTTCCTAACATTACTAAATTGATACGTGCTGAGGCCTTCCCTCTTCTAGGAGATGTTGGGCTGTCATGCCACTACTGAAGGGGTAGGACATTTTATCAACGATAGTATTGCATTGAGATAATGCTTATTGATAATACACGACATACTGTTGCTTTCGATATTTGTCACAGTGGATAATTATCGCTATCTATAATAGTCGTAAGATAATCGTATTCAATGTGTTTATCATTTTCGGGAGTCGCCGCGATGTTATCGTTGTTTTTAACTCTCGCTATGTAACTACCTGATTTTTATGAGATGCCGTGAGAATACTTTTAAAAATATCTATCTCTCGATGTTAAAGAAACAAATAGATAATTTACAATGGATCTATCGAGCAGATCTGCGGAGATTAGAGTAGAGAGACTTGATTGTAATTTTCGTCATTTATCAAAAAGTCTTTTTTTAATGCATTTTATACACCATTTTATTTGAATCTTTTTTTCGTTTCCTTTAAATAGTTAATTTTATCTACGACAATACAAAACTAATATAATAGTTAGACAACAAACTAATATTATAATAGTTAGTTTTTTCGTTTTCTTTATATAGTTAATTTTAAACATAATGACTTTGAAGATTGTTCACATTTAATTTCAAAATTATGTTATAGAGTTTCGAGTCATTATGTTGGCAACTATGACTGTTATTTTATCAAATTAGATAAATAAATAAAATGTGTTTCTTTGGAAAATTAACGCTAAGATATTTTTTGACAAAAATTATAAATCATATCTGTCGAATCACATGAGTCAAAATCTCCTGAACTCCTTACGCTTTTTCCTTTTATGAGGGAAATGGGAATGATTTGAGGGGAGAATTGAATTTTTTCTAAACAGGCAAGTAAGGCATTATTTCCGGTGTATTTTTCCACCAAACCATAAAATCAAGCCCAAAACGATCGTACAAATAGTTTAGAAGTTATGAGTACGAAAAGAACAATTTTGTACTTGTACTATGTTAAGCATCTAATAATGCTATCTAAATAAGTGAGAATTTCTTTTTTTCTTTTTGTATTCTGTAGGCGAAATCGGAATCAAATATACACGAATCAATCGAACGGATAGTTTAAAAATTATAAACGTTTTCATGCATAAAAAGAACTATTTTTGACATGAATTAATACACTTTTTAATTTTTCATCTATTAGCTATTTGAACGTATGAGGTACATTTTACTATGAAATTTTAAATACTGAATGTAATGAGATGAAATTCAAGTTGATAGGATTATTTATTTGATTTCAAGTTATAAGGTTTTTTTTCATACTAATAAGTGCAATACAAAAATAGTATAATTTTTACAACAACAAAAAATATTTTCAACTTTATAAATATTAGACCTTTTGAATCATGTTTGGTTTCATTCTATTAATTGAGAAAAATTACGTAAGAAACAGTGCCTCTCTTATTTGTATTACAACTGTCTTATTACAATGTAAGATGTGTAAATATGTGCAAGTACAAAATTGTACTTTCCGTACTTAAAACGATTATAACTTATAATCTATTGATCTGATCATCTTTTAAAATAGTTTCATCCAATTCAGCGGGAAAAATTACATTGGAAAATATACCTAACATTGTCAAATAGTACCCATATAGCAATGTAAAGTGTACACATAAATGCGTGTAAAAGAAAGACTTTATATAATTAAAACTCTTGAACTATTTGTTCTATATTGACTTGTATTTGTGTCTAGTCTCATTCGATTCAGCATAAGAAATACATTGGAAAAAATATAATAAGAAAAGAATTCAAAATAATTAAAGCAATTAAAGACTATACTTCCAGTGGAAAAACGCGCTATGCAGCTTTTCCGAAAGAATTTGAAACGAAAGAAACAATGAAAAAATACAACCGAAGTTGACGTCTTCAGGGGGTACCAGCTCTGAAGCCATAAATACAAATCCTTTGTTACCTTTGCAAACCTTTTTTTTTTTCTTGCTTAATGCATTTCATATTTTGTATTGTATTTACTCTTCCTGGACTTTGGCAAAACCTTTGGGGTACAGACAGAGCAATTTAGACATTTGTCGTGCTCTCTCGATAGAAAAGGTTTTGCATTCATGGATTCCGGAGCTGGTACCCGCTGAAGACTTCGGTTGTCGTACTTTTTCATTGTTTCTTTTAGAAACTATGTCTCACTTGTTTAGATAGCAATATCAAAAGCGTAAATAGGTAGAGGTATAAATGTGTACTTCTTGAATATAATGTGTTAGTGTGATCACGTGTTAGTGTGATATTCAATTCAACGTGAAAAAAAATATATGGGAAACAATGCCTAATTCTCCAGTTTTGAATAAATTCAATTCTTCACCTTAAATCACCCCCATTTACTTAAAAAAAAAAAAGGCAAGCGTACAGAAGGCAGTTAGATAGTTTACAGATATCATTCATCATAGCGTAACAAAGTTTTTGGTCAAAAAATATCTTGGGTATTAATTTTTTCCAAGAAAGAAAAAGTCTAATTTTACAGGACGATAAGAACTTTGATGAAAAAAAAGGCCTAATCAATTAGTCAGCGAAGATGCGTAGTTATGAAAAAACGAATTAATAAACCGATTTTATATTAAGTCAATGAATTGTTGAATTAGTGAATAAAGGAATGAGAGAATCAATTTATAAATTACTAAAAGAAATTACTAACTTATAATTTGTAACTTCCAGTTGGCAACTACAATTAATTCTCTTCCCATTTTTGGTACGGTACCCAATTCGAATTAGTCTCAATAAATTAATAGGTTTTTTAGGGAGGCAAAATCATATATTAGTCTGGAGAGGGGAATACCTAATTGAATATTTTAATTATGACAATCGTTTGTTCATATGTTTCATCTTCCATATTTTTAGAATATGTAATACAAAACTTAACTTTCAAAGCCAATAGAGATTCCACAGAAAATGATGAATAAATATAACGTTATATGCCTAGTTCAGACTTTTAAATGTTGAAATTTTTGCACTACTTGTATTAAAAATTAATAAATTTATAATCTATTAATACATGATAATGAATAAAAGATCTCAGTGACCATAAAAATCACTTTTAGTAGAACTCAGTGGCAGTATAATCCCATTCATTGCCATACCATATTTATCATTAAAAATTTAGCATATTTATTCATAATATAGCAATTTAATCGTACATTTCGGGGGGGGGGGAATATTCCAAAATAGATTTTTCTGACTTCGGAAACGATTATTCTTCATCATTTTGTGTAATTATGCAACGCATCTTTTAATTATTCTCAATTCACCAAATACGAGTGGGCAGCTTTTAATTATTTTTAATTTACTTTTACTCCCATAAAAATTACAAAAAATTTAGCTCATTTATTCATAGCACAACAATTTATTTACAGTTTAGGGGGGTGGGGTTGTTCTAACGGTATAAACAATTGGGCAGCTTTAAATCATTCTCCATTTCTTTTAATTCACCGTAAATATAACAAAAAATCAGCACATTTATTCATAGCACAACAATTTATTGATAGTTAGAGGGGGGAAGAAAGATGTAATGACGGTGTGAACGATTGGGCAGCTTTTAATTATTTTAATGAATTTTTAAGGCAGCTTTAATTACTATAGATGTTCTGACGGCTTGAACGATTAGGCAGCATTTAGTTATTTTTCATGATTTTAAGTTAGGAAGCTTTTAATTATTTTTAGTTCACCATAAATATCACAAAAAAATTAGCATATTTATTCATAACAAATCATTTTATTCATAATTAAGCGGAAGAAGATAGTTTCCAAAATGAATGTTCTGACGGTGTGAACAATTGGGCAGTTTCGATTTTTTTTTTTTTCAGTTGAAAATATTACTAGATATTTGCCCTAAGTAAGATGATGTTTGTTTTTACGCTGTGTATTTTATGCGAAAATAAAATCCACCGTACTATCCATTACAATCTATATCAACCATTGGTTTTTTTTGTTGTTGTCAGAAGTCATGATTTAGGAAGTCCCACGGCACTCAAATTTGGGAGACGAAAACAATCCAATGTACAGTTGCAAAACTAGCGGTTTCTGGTCATTAATGAGTGACGCCAATTAAACTTTCACCCTCAACCTAACAAGATAAGGCTATTCCTCCCTTGACCACTATGGCAATCAGGAAATTAATTCAGGTCACTGATTTCGAAAGCCCATTCATTAAAGTCGGATATTGAGATATTTTTTCATCTAAAAAGTGAAAGCAAAAATTTGTAGTCAGCTCTTAGTTCTCTTTCAACTTTTATGGAAATGTTTGTTGTCCAACCTAAGGCTATGACTCCTAACTCCTATACTTTAATTCAGGGGCTTTAATCCAACCTATGCAAGCGTAAACCAGGGAACACATGATGAGATTTAACCCTAAAATAGTTTAGAGCAATTACAGAATAATTTAAATTATTTTCAACTTTTACCAGCAATAATAGATGGAACAAGTTTAGCTACGTTCAGCTCGTATGTGTCTTCGTAAAAAAAATTTTTCTTTTTCTTCCCTTTTAAAAGAATTTTTTATAATATCCAGCTTTAAATATCTAACAAATATTTCACTTCTATCTAAACACAATTTACTTTAACTTGTCTGGGAAATGCTTGCAAATTCAAATGTGATATTTGTCCTCGCCGATCTGAAACAAAGAAAAAAGCACGTTTGTTCAAATCACTATCAGAGAAGTCAATCATCAAAGAATAATCATTAAAAAACCTCGATGCACTCAAAATTAATAGCATATTCCAAACTATGCCTTTGCCTTAAAAGAATAACCAACGGAATTGTAAATTTTATACATTTTACTTTTAACACAGGGCATAACCTGTCCTTAAGACAATTGAGTTTGTGTGTAATTTTATCCCCAGATAACAGGTTACTCGACAAAGAGGAATTTTGCATTTGTTCAACAAAATAACAAAGGCCATACTTCAGGAGTTGAAGACAGGGACTAATTGTCTCGGCGCTCGGAACAGTTGAGGGTCCGGTTGAAATTCCTTATAAGCATTCCATAGACATAAAGGAGTATTGTATTGTAGTCCCTGAAGCATTCAAATGCTTTATTATTATTTTTTTATAGCAGAAGAATTTCTTATTTATATATGCTTGCAGTGTTTATATTAGGGGGACCGGAAAGTAATGTCGTTTCGAAGCAGTAAATATTCGGTCTTAAAAACCAATTCATTTTTTCGATCCATCGATTCAGCATTGAAAGGTTGTTGAGGGTGAATACAATATTGATTAAAAATAAAATCTTGATAACAAATATCAAATACACAGAAACGATGTTACTTTCCGGTCCCCCTAATAATTTCAGGAAAAGAGTTCTTCACATTTAATGCAAGTTTATAAAAATAAAAATCAACAATCATTTAGTTTTTAGACAAACTAAGCATTTGTGTAAGAATACTTATAAAAACTGATATTTCAGGAATCAAAGGAAAATGAATTTTATAAAAAGTCAATCTTTTGAAAAAGCTTCAAATTTTTATAATTAGATTTCAGAAAGGAGCCTGCATCAGATTTTATCCTAGGGTCCGTTAATCCTGCGTCCAGCCTTGCAAAAAACTGAGAAATAGAAAACTCGACGCAATAAAACTCAGTTTAGCAAACGAAAATGGTGGAAGAGAGGAAGAGTTTTTGTATGAACATACATATTTACACAGTTGCATACTAAATAGGTCGACTATAGTAACTATTATAGTCATTAGTCAACTAAAGGTGACTACATCGAGAATTAATAGAGATTTTACATTGTTTTCTAAACAGAGTATAAAAAGCCAAAATTTTATTTTTATCATACTTGGCTTTACTTTTATTTCATTGATAAAAAGAATTTAACTAAACTTCAAAGGAAAACCTAATGATTGAAAAGGCAAAAAAAAACACACGTTCTCCACGTAAACATTTATTAAAAATACGAAAGTCATTCATGAAGGGAGTTTTCAAATGCCTATAAAAGGAAGTCGCATGTACTTGGATAGATTTACTGCAAAAGAAACAGCAATATTTCAGTTCCTTCTCACCATAACCACCACAGGAATTTTAACACCGGCCAGACTGTTACAGGAGTCGTAGATAAAAATCTAACTCCTGGGAGTAAAGCCAGCGCGTGACAGCTATCTGCACATTTACGTCTGCTATAAATATCGAAACCTGGACCCTCACTTCTATAAGTGCAAGAATAGATACAGTAATATCGACCACTCAGGGGATGGAGCATTCGCCTTCCAATGAGGTGAACCTAGTTCGAATCCCAGCGATGAATTGCCTATACGAATTCCGCACCCGACTACAAGTGCTGACGTATAATATCCTCAGTGGTAGACTGATCATGGGTTAGAGTCCTCTTGCCGTCTGGCTAACCGTGGGAGGTCCTCCTCTCCGTGTAACGCAAATGCGGGTTAGTTCCGCCAAAAAGTCCTCCACGATGGCAAATTTCTCCCAATGCTTGATCCACGAATTACCTGGTCCTTGTTCGCATCTTGGAATTCGCAAGGTTCCCAGTTAAACACCGAAGGAAAGCATCACTTGCTACTTTCAGTAAGTGGGTGGGAGACCACTTTGATCTGCCTGCTTAGGGACCAAGGATAATCGGTATCGGTCCTCATTAAACTGTTCTACTGTTACTAAAAACTTTGTAAATACTCAAGATATTCGAATATGTCTTTTTCATTAGTCACTAAATACGATTTACGATGGCATTTCGTAAAAAAAAAATTAATGTCACATTTTCTCTGCGCATGTGAAGTATGAAAGAACTACTTTAAAAATACCTCTCGTAATTATTAACGAATTTTATTTTAAACTCTAAAATAATAAAATTGTTATTAATTGAAAATTGTTCTGAAAATCTTGAATATTTTAGAAGTTTTAACCAAAAAATTCACACATTTTTTTTATTAAAATGTTTATACTTCCATAAATATTTAAGCTAGGTTTACGAAATTTAATTCAACTATTGAAAGTAACAAATAGAGTAATCATTGCTATATTTTCATGTCATGGGGTGTTCAAAAATACTTGTTTTCGTTCGTAATTTACTGCCTGTCCCTTCAACCTTTAAATTTTATTGATAGAAATTGCATGACCTGAACACCTCTAAATTACAAATAATAACCCCAGCATTTTCTTCGAAATTTAAAAAAAATGTCAAAAACTGAAAGTGTCTCTTCCATTATAGGGTAATGGAAGAGACACTTTCATATTATAGGGTAAAGTATGTTCTACAAAATAATTTTGAAATGTGATCTCGCTGGCCGCTAAAGGCGGCTAGTACTCAATACTTTTCATAATTATATTCAGAATTATGTGGTAATCGCGCTTTATAGTTATTTTTTAATCAACAAAGATTGAAAATAATTATTTAACAAATGGAAAAGCAAAAAGTAAGTTTTTTAGAACATACCTGGTAAACCTAAAATGATTAATAATAGCAGTTAGTAACTGTTTTCATAGGTTACTACATATTTTGAATGTATAAGTACACCACTAGATGCCACAATTAGCTAAACTGGTTTAAAATACAATACTATCCCGAGTACAAAAGAGGAGTTATTCAATTTTTCATAATACTTTTTGTATGACGCATAATCTACAATAAATCACACCATAACAAATGCGACTGTCAACAGCAAGAATGCTATTTTATAAAAATATTTTATTACGTACAAAAAAAAAATTTTTGATTACTCAGCCTTATAAATTTATTATAAGGCTGAATAAATTTACATAAAATAAATTTTATTAAAAAATATTTATTAAAATAAATTTATTATATACTCAGCATTTTTCATAATGCTGAGTATTCTTATTTGACATAGAGTACAAAAGTCACACCATAATGAACATGACTATAAGCAACAAAAAAACTATCTATTTTGTGACGATATTTTATTACATACACAACAAAAACTAGGTTATTCAACATTAGAAACATCCTTACTTTACATAAAATTTTTCATAGGTATAAATACAAGTGTGATTACCTGGATAGTCCTCAAGTAAAAAATTATTTTTACAAATACAAGAATATAGATTCTAAACAGTGTGAGCACGAATGTGTTTAATCAGATGATCTTTTTGTGAAAAACTTTTATTACATATACTACAAGAATAAGGTTTCTTGCCAGTACGAAAATGATTGTGCTTAGATACATTATCTCCGTCTTATAAACTCTTATACACAAGCATAACGTTTCTTGCCAGTATGAACACGACTGTGTTTAGTGAAATGAACTCTTACTGAAAAACTCTTATTACATGTACTACAATAGGGGTGCACAACCTTTTTGAGTGAAGGGCCACATGCACAGCAGATTGAACTATGAAGGGCTGTATGCCTAACTATTTAGACAGACATGTTAACAGCAACTAATAGTTATATAAACATCATAGTAATAGTTATATAAACATCATTGTTCTAGCGACTAAATTCTTTTTAACAGTGAACCTTGTAATATGCTTGCATAATATTAAATACTTTTAAATTTTTAAAATTAAAAACTGCAAAACTGATTACTTTGGGAAAAAACAGAATCAATTATAAAAAATAAAAAAAAATTCAAATAAATTGAAATAAATAAAAACAATGGAAAAATTTTATCATCACATAATACTACTTAAGTTCATTCAAAGATAAATTTTAACATTAAAATTTTTAATGTTCAAAAAATAAATTTTAAAAAAATTTACATTTTCTAGTTAATAAAACAAATGCAATTAATATACAGGGTGTTCCAAAATTATCTTTACAACTTCAAAAATTCATAACTTCGAACATAAACAAGATATTTATATTCTGTCTTTTGCATGTATTACTGCAACTAATAAAGTTTTTTTTTCAATAGGCTGAAAAGTTTTAAGTGAGGATGTGGACACCACAACAGAAAGCTCAATGCGTCTCATGGCCGTATTCGCTCCACATTTTCTGGACTTGTGCTGGGTCGTCCGGCTCCACTTTTATGCAATACTGATCCGGTGCTCATGAAGCTTGTGTGCCATGCACGGATGGAGGGTCTGGATGGTGGGTCTCTTTGGAAATTTGTCCTGAAGTTCCGTTGAACCTGTGTATCTGATTTCGTCTCTATGAACCATGAGACGCATTGAGCTTTCTGTTGTGGTGTCCACATCCTCACTTATAACTTTTCAGCCTATTGAAAAAAAACTTTATTAGTTGTAGTAATACATGCAAAAGACAGAATAAAAATTTCTTGTTTATGTTCGAAGTTATGAATTTTTGAAGTTGTAAAGATAATTTTGGAGCACCCTGTACTTTAATTTAAAGAAAGTTTGCAGGATTAAAATTGAAACAAAACCTTTGCAGGGCAAACTAAGATTCAACATTTAGTAGGGAATATATTCCAACGTTAAAACGTTTTAAATAAATTATAAGAGTAATACAAAAAAAAAAAAACATTAATTTTGAAGGAGCTATTTCTCTTAATAATAAAAAACTATTATGACCAATTAGACTCCCTATGACCAATAATTTTTTAACATGACACTATTTACAGTTAATACACAGATATATTAACAACTAATTAAAACTTACATTACGATACTTATCTGGATTTTAAATTTGTACCGTTAAAATTTAAGGTGCATGATACAAAATGTTCCATGTAGGTAGAAAATGGCTTAAAAAATTTCGTAATGCTTATCCTGCAATTTTCAAATATTTTGATAATTTTATTTACTTGATCATCTGATAGCTTTTTCAGACCATTAAATGAAAATTTAATGATTTTATTTAAAGACTGCTCCTCAAACTTGAACATGCCCAATTCATTCTGGAAAACAGTCTTTCTTCAGAAGCTGTTGTTGTGGGCAGTATTAAACTTATGGCAAATATACCTTGCATGGCAAATATACCTTAATCAGTTTTGTGAATTTGTTCCAGATGGTGCTCTTCCTTTCCTAATTTTTAAATCGCGTTAATTTGAATATTGATGTGTGATTTTTAAATCGCGTGAATATGAATATTGATGTGTGATTTTTAAATCGCTTCAATACGAATTGTTATTTGTGGCTTTTAAATTGCTTGAATGAAAAACGTGATACATGATCAGAATGTACGATCTTTAAAACGTGTTAATATGATTCGCGATGTGGCTTTTTTAATCGCCTGAATAAGAATCACAATGTATAATTTTTGATTTGAGAGAAGAGTAACGCGTATGATTCTTTAAACGCCAGAATACGAAAATCGTGACATATGATTTTTAAATCATGCGACTACAAAAATGAATAAATTGGGTATGTGTTGCTAAACTTGCACATGTTTATGGAATTATGCATGTGAATTGAAATATTTTTCTCCAAAAGGGATCCTCATTTAATATAAATTTACACATCTTATTTCTTTTATTATTCTCTCTGGGAAGGCGTCAATTTTGCTAAAATACGTAATAACTTTTTAAATTATAAAAGTTTTTCTAAACAGTATCAAATTTCATGAGTCATGTATCCTAATAATGTCTTATTAAAAATATTGGGATTTTCAAAACTCTGTGCAAGTCTGAAGCATTAACAATCAAAAAAAGCGATTAAAAAACTAAATGAATTGATATTGGGTGCATCAAAAACTTAAACTCGCAATTTTATATGTCCGATTTTTTTCCTTCAAAAGGAGTTTAATTAATTTTTTTATTTTATTCAGGTTGCTCCCGCAGGCCACACATTAAGGTTTTGAGGGCCGCATGTGGCCAGGGGGCAGCAGGTTGTGCATCCCTATGCTACAAGAATACGGTTTTTCACCAGTGTGAATATAGCGGTGTCTAATCAGATGGCATTTTTGTGAAAAATTGTTATTACATATATTTCAAGAATGCAGTTTCTCAATAGTATGAACACGACTGTGTGTAGTCAGCGTACCGTTTTTTGAAAAACTTTTATTACATACACTACAACGGTAAGGCTTCTCCCCAGTATGAACACGACTGTGTTCAGTTAAATTACTTCTTTGTGAGAATTTCTTATTACATATACTACAACGATAAGGTTTCTCACCAGTATGAACACGATTGTGTATAGTCAGTTTACCTCTTTGTGAAAAATTCTTATTACATATACTACAAGAATACGGTTTCTCCCCAGTATGAACACGACTGTGTATAGTCAGTTTACCTCTTTCTGAAAAATTCTTATTACATATACTACAAGAATACGGTTTCTCCCCAGTATGAACACGACTGTGTATAGTCAGTTTAT